CATTTATGAAGCCTCTGTTATGGATATATCATTGCAGTTTACATAACTCAGTCGCTCACTCGTGAACATATTTACGCATTGCAGTGTGTACCATCCGGGCTCACTCGTCAAACACACACACGTATGTCTGTAGAACTTCTTTCGCACCGTACGTGCGGCGGAAGGACACAACACGTGTTGTACACGTGTCGAGAGAGGGGGGGGGCGTGGTACGCGGTTGCGTGCACAAAGTTTATTCTGCGTTATGAGCGGCAAGTAATATGAGTGGATCGTTGTTACAGGCAGTGCCGGATTATCCTCGTCGCAAAAGTAGCTACATATGCTACGGGCCCCGCACTTTCAAGGGCCCCGCGCTAAATGCGTTCAAGCTATCATTTCCGGTTCAGTGATTCTGCACTTGCTCTATTACTATAGTACCATACTGCCTTCAACTTTTATTAACGACTGGGTGTGTTTAAGGTTAGCGATTTGTCGTATTATCTGGCTAAATAGCAAATGAAAAAATCCAATTATTTTACTATGCAAGTAAAAGATTTTCGTTTTAATATGTAAGTTTTTTTTGTATTTAGGGCCTTTTTATAACATATGCTACATGCCCCGCACTAGCTGGTTACAGGGGGCAAGGAGGAGTGGTGGGTGGTGTATCTTGAAACACTCAGCAATGTGACCCCGGTAGTCACGGGGAAGCGTTGGGGAAGCACTACCCTAAAGCAACGCATCAACCAACAACGACAACGCATTTGGCAAGCAGACCGCTTCCCTGTGCACTCGCTTCTCCTGCCCCACGTGGAGCGTTGCGTGCTTTATCGCCCCGTGTGATATTGTGCGTCTAAACTAAGATGTTCCTCTTCTTGGTTCTTTCGGTAAAGTCACGTAGAAGGGAAATAATAAAGAATGAAATAATAAAATAAACATCATAATTTTATTATGTTTTATAATTACTTGAATATGTTTTATTTTTATCATTTTATTATTTCCTTCTACGTGACTTTACCGAAATAACCAAGAAGATGAATCCCTGCAGTCACGAAAGCGTTAAATCGAAATTTAAGATGTTCCTTTCCAGCAGACAGCCCTGATGGGACCCCGGGACCTCCCTTTTATGCCCCCCAGCGTGTCGTGGCTCCGCCCTCGGCCACGCCCCCTTCTGGAACTTCCCAGAAGACTCTGGGCCATACACCACGTGTCCCTTCTGTCACCTTGAGCCCACATCCTTACCCTGTCCTATCACGTGCCCTTGCCAGCCAATCGGGCTACTACGTCCTCAAATGCCCCCTACTTTGTCAGCCCCCAGAACCATGCTCCCCTAGAAACCTCTTCCATGAGATCGTGTACTCTGCTGGCAGAGGGCGACTACACACGCAACTCCTCTCTCTGTCGGTAGATGGCGCTAGGCGCCGTAGTGACCCATTATATGTCACTGCACATGCGTAGTGAGTCATTCGCAGACACTTTTTAGGAGGCAACAACCTTTATTCGACACTTTACGCAACACCGTTACACACGGGACTAAATACACCTATTCTCATTCGTGTTACGCATAGGACCGCAATACACATATTTCTCTTGCATACAGGATAACTATAATCGGTTCAGAGCAGCCAACGTGCCACCTGACCCACAATGTCGAAGACGTAGACGTAGCACTTGGGTTTCACTTCACCTGCAGACAGCCCGGATCTGTGATCGGGGCTTCCCTTTTATCTCTCTCGGCGCGGCCTGGCTCCACCCTCGGCTACGCCCGACGTCCAGAATATTCCTGACGGTTCCAGGTGCAGGAGGAAGTTGGCTGAATACCACTCTGGGACTCCCTCGTGAGCGAAGCAATGTGCACGGCTTGCAGACCTTTTTTTCAAACCCTTTTCACTGAGAAACGAGGACAAATAATGTACCACGCAGTAACTCACGCCGCCATGCCGTTTGTACTAACATTTCCCCGGAAACGATTACCAATCACTTACTGGCAATCAGTATGCGAGTGTGCGTTCATATGTATGTGTACAGATGACCAAGATCCCCGTATAGCCTTGAACGGACTGTTAGGGAAAGTGCTGATAGCGAGTAGCACCTTTTAGAGCTGTGCACGGTACACGAGGGGGTCGGTTGCCAGCAACCACGCCCGATCCGCCTTTGTCTCCCCCAGTGGCGATCTTTACGCACAGCACCAGGTACTCATTTGCGGCGGAGTCGACCTAGGGAAGGCACAGGACCAGTTCAGATAATCGCGGCTGGTATTTGGTTGCTAACCGCTGCACCGCCGCTCAGCCGGTGATGCCCCTTCGCCTGCTCGCCACTGACCCTTGTGGAGGTCTTCGTCCAGCAGCGGAGAGCTGACAATGAGACCAGACGTGCGTGTGGCTTGTTGTGCTTCGCGCACACCTCCGATTAGCACGGTTGGCTACGTACGGTGCGAAAGAAGTTCAACCCCTACGCATGCGACTGCCACAATGACAACGCGGACAGGGGCAGCTGATGCTCGCCGCTGCTGCGTTCACGCGATATTCGCCGTTCACCGGGTCAAGAAGGAGGCGCCCTAATTGTGTGCGAAACCTCAATTATCGGGATTTTCCAGACGGTTGAACGCGCGCGTGGACGTGAGTGGAATACTGCGGCGTGCGCGTGCTGACCTGTATCCACGTGTTAATGCGAGCGCTGGAGTGTCGCGAGTAGAGTGGTTTGATTTGCCGTTGTGTTGACCTTTCCTTAAAACGCCTGGCCACGATTACCAATCCTCCCTTTAAGCCTGCTTACTTTACTACGCCTCCCTTCGTACTCATTGACATGTAAATGTTTTCCCTACCCCCTCCCTCTCTCTCTGCCTCCGCCCCCCTCTGTCTATTTAAGGGCACCCCACAGAGACGATCACCCCTCTCTGTACCTGGGTTGCTCTCTCTATGTATCTTGGTGATATCTGTCTGGTTATATGTCTGTCTATAGTTTTCTGGTTAGATTCTATGTCGCTATTTCATTATACCTGATGATGATTGCTTGTGTTGCAATCGAAACGTCGTATGCTATTATTTAATTTATTATTTTATCTTTATACATGACTTTACCGAAAAAACCAAAGAATAATTCCTGCAGTCACGAAAGCTCCAAAATTAAGATTGATTACCAATCCGTTTACTTGGGGGTCTGCTGATTGCTAAACGCGTCGCGAGTGACGTGAAGAGCGGATGATTGGAATTGAGAGCAGTGTGTGTGGCAGACTGTGAAGGGAGGCATAGCGTTGTTTGCGAGCACCTATTAAGGCCAAAATTGATCCTTATGGCGGTACCCCGTGGTACCGAATAATCCAAAATTCCCGAAGCAATTAAATATTTTTTTCAGAAGTGTACTTCACTCTGCGACTGGGATACCAATCAATCCGATATCGGTGCCACACTCCGCGATGTCGAAACGCAGCGAGGACGATTGCGCCCGAAACCCTGAACGCTCGCGGTACGCACCGTAGTGGTGGTGCATCGTGTACAGCTCGAATCGAGATGAGTCGATTGCCGCATCGCCGACCATCAACAGACGAAAAATGACTGCGTCACGGACATTGTGCGAGAGCCATGGGTACGATGGCTCCCCGGGGTACCGCCATGAGGTTCGTTTATCGGCGCACGAGGGCGTCCAGCTCCACGCACGACCGCCTTTGTCTCCCTGATGATTACGCCTCCGATTAGCAGCGTTAGCTGAGCACGGTGTGAAAGAAGTTCGGCGAGCGTACGTACATACACGCCACACCACGTGGTACTCGTTTTAAGGCTGAGTCGACGACTTAGACAGGGGAGGCTCAGGGACCAGTTCAGATTCGTCACCGATGTTAGTCGTGATCGGGAATCGAACTCGGTTCGCCCGGGTTCGGAGTGCGTTGCGCGATAACCGCGATGCTACCACTCCGGCAACAGAGGTTTTTGGGTCAGATCGCGCGAATATAAATGCGTCGTTAAACCCGCCAACACCCGGCACGGCCAATTAGCAAGCTTTGTCACGCAAGGAAAATGTGCCGATTCGTTACTGGCACAGCAACGCCGGCAAGTGACCACTCCCGTCATCACGTATGGCACAAACCGGTATACACATCTCGGGAGAGGGTCCTTGCCAAGGGGCCGTCCATAAATGACGTCACGCACCTATGGGGGGAGGGGTCAGACATTTGTGACGATGTGTGACGAAGGGGGGGGGGGGGGTTGAGAAATGTGACGTCACATCAAAATGCGCAACTTTAAATAAATATAGAATTGGGGGGGGGGTCAGACATTTGTGACGATGTGTGACGAGAGGGGGGGGGGGGGGTGAGAAATGTGACGTCACATGAAAATGCGCAACTTTAAATAAATATAGAATTGTTATAACAACACTCCTACAACATCAGAGTGCAGCGCCACATTAAATACACACTACGATGATAATAGTTTAAAGCGATTTGAAGCATGTTTTTTTTCAAAAGGGAAATATGGGTTTGGGGGGGGGGGGCAGAGCTTTTTGACGTCATATTTGAGGGGGGGTCTGACTTTTTGTGACGATGGGGGGGGGGGGGTCAAAAATCGTCCAAAATCGCGTGCGTCATTTATGGACGGCCCCCAATGACATTTGGTCGTTCACCAGCATTGGTTAAAGCGAGCCCCGGCTCTGCTGATGAGACGTTGAATGTTGAAGCTGGGGATCTCAGAAGGGTTTTGTTGTTGTTGTTGTTGCGTTGTGCCAATAATGCTGCTGCTGCAACAATGCACTCCATTGAGGCACTAGTGGCTGATAGAATGTGTTAAACATACGTGCGTTTTATGTGCAGGATATATATAATTATAAGGAGATGTATAGTAACATTTTAAGCAAAGCTCCCCCTCTCGTTTTACGGCGGTGGCGATAACTGGAGTTTGTTCGAAAACTGTGATAAACGCACACACACACACACAATTGTCCAAACATTTCCCCGAGAAAAATAAATTCTAAAACGAACTCGAAATAATTCACGTGTCTCTCACAGCGCAATACAAAATGAAGATGTGGGATGACATCAGAATGTGTATATTTATTTATAGATTCGGGCACCGTTATAACAATTTACTCAGAATATGTACAACCTCGCAGTAGATTTACAAACAGCATACGCGTCATTTCCCAAACAAAGAGTCCAATAAATTTATCAGAGCAAGCGACAAAAAATCCTCGTCTTTTTTTGTGTCTTTCTTCCCTCCACCACCCTAGTTTATGTTAATACAATTATATTAATAACATTAATTAAAAAAACACACACACACAAATAAAAAGCTAAAAAGAGAGAGAGAAAAAAACGAGAAATAAATGATGACTAAAAACAAGATGCTTTGGAAAAATACAATCCTCCCAACAACGGTTTGCTCTCTCCCATCATGTTTCTGAGGTAAATATGTAAAAAAACAAAAAAAGATGCATCTTTTATCTTTTTTTTTCTTTCCCAGAGTTTAAATATTGTCCATCCCCTTCGCATGCACGGGTATGTACATCACGTACACATAACTTAACACGTGTCGCTATGTACACACGGAGCGGAGTGACCTGATTATAAGACGCACCCACCCCCCCCTCTGTATATTTAAAAGCAAAAAGTTGTCGGTGCGTCTTATAATCGAGTGTGTGTGTGTGTTTGGGGGGGGGGGGGGAGCGGTGGCGCAGCGGTTAGCACGCTGTGCTACAAACCACGCCGACTCGAGTTCCACTCACGGGCAACGCCACTGACGGATTATCCGAACCGTTCATGGGCCTCCCCTAGGTCGACTCAGCCTCGCATGAGTACCTGCTGCGGTGTGTAAAACATCGTCACTAGGGAGACAAAGGCGGCCGGGCGTGGTGCTAGCCACCCACCCTCTCGCGTGCCTTGCCGGCCTTCATAGGTGCTCGCTAACAGCACTTGCCCCAACAGTCTGTTCAGGCTATACGAGGGGGGTCTTTGTCTTTGTATATGTATGTTGGACTTCTTTTGCACCCTACCATGTCTGTGTGTGTGAGATCAGATTTGTAGAACCGTATTGACAACGGGGCACACCTTTCGCACTTTACTTTCGTCTAACTTTGCGGAGCGTCTCATTATCCGTAGAAAACGATGCGTAAGGGAGTGGTGGCGCAGTGGTTAGCGCACTCACATCTTAAAATTGGGTCATGTTATTGCGGTGTAGTTCACGTCATGAAATGAGGTGGGGAGACAAAGGCAGCCGTGCGTGGGGGTTGGACACATCACCCACCCCCCCCTTTGTGAGCCATTCCAACGTCAATAGGCGCTCGCTAACAGCACTTGCCCCAACAGTCTTACGTAGGCTACGCGGGGGATCTTTGTCTTTGTGTGTGTGTATATATATATACAGCATACGTGTGTTCTGTATATACATACAACCACAAAACTAAATATCTTACACAACGGGGGGCATAATCGATTAAATAATCGATTAAAACCGGATGATCCGGATTATAAGACGCACACTTTTTTCTGTACTGCGCCGTATAATCCGGTGGCTGCGCGCGAGTGTGTGGGTGTCATTACATTTGTATAACTTTATTGACACACGGATTTTTTTTTTTTTGGATCATCTTTACTTTCCCAAACAAGTACATATATTTTATTTTAACATTGTAGTGAAGGGAGCGGTTCTGGAAGCGACCAAGGTTGGTAACAACCTCAATACCAATGCATTGCAACATTTTATATATATACAGTATACTGCATGAGCGATCGAAATTCACAGAATTGTTACACAGAGTGAGTCCGATGCGTTATCAATAATCGATGTCAGGGGTTGTTACGGCCACGATCGATACTGACTTGGGAGCCGGGCCCTCATCCAGCAGTGGACTGACAGAGTGCCACTCGCCTTCCAATGATATAAATTATGCAATTTGTCCACGAACAGCTGCGATCGTTTTGTGATTGAACGGATTAGATTGGCGAGCATGGGGGGCGAGTTGTACCGTGGGGGTTTCGGTGTTGTGACGCTCAGCACAAAGGTGGTGATGGTTATGACGACGACGACGGTGATCATAGCGTTGATGATTCCAATAAAACAAGTAAAATAAAATAAACATATTTGGTCACTTTCCACGACCGCCTCTAACTTTCTTAATCGGCCACTCTCTATCCGAGTGTCTCCTCTCTCTCTCTCTCCATCGACAAGACGCAAGCGTTTTCTTCCTCGTGAGATTGTCCTTCTGTTCTCAACGACGTCCCAGTCTTTGATGATGACGACGTTGTCGTCGTTGTCGTCGTAATCGTTTCTTGAAACTCGTCCCTTGTCGTCTTCTTCATCATCCAAAGGGCCGCAAGATCCGCCGTCCGCCTTTTGTCTTCCGCTGGCACGTCGAGCGATTGTGGATTTCGAAGCAAGTCGCAATGTGATTACAATGTCCAGTGTACGCACGCACGCACGCGCGCACGCGAAGATTTCAAAATTTCCTTCTCGCAAGTCACCATTTACAAATGCGCCGTGTTACGTCAACATCAACAACAGCATCAAGCACGAGTCGTTTAGCGCCACCGTAATGAGCGTCAGTAAAAAATAACTTTAAAACAATTCCAGTTGCTTTTCTTGTTTTAAGCGCCAAAAAAAAAAGTCCAGATTAATTCTTGGTCACCCACGCTTTGTTTTGTTTTTAATCTGTCTGCACTCACGGCGTAAACTCTCGACCCGTGGTCATTACCAAATCGATCCCTTGCGTTGCTCAGTGACGCGGCCACGTGTCTTGGCATGGGCCCTGGTATGTATGTTTGTTGAACTTCTTTCGCACCGTACATGACCAACCGTGTTAATCGGAGGTGCGGGCGCATGCAAATGAAGCCCTCTGTCCAAATCAATTCTCCCCCAACCTCCCCCCCCCCTCCCCTCTCCCGTCCTCCCCCCTCTTCATAGCCCAGCAGTCGTGGGTCCCTGTGCAGTTGCACCGCCTGCACACTCAATACCTACGCCACTGCCACAGCTGGCTACTACTGCTGCAGCTGCTGCTACTGCTGATAGAATTATCATTACAATGAACCCGAAGTTCGTCGCCGCAATGGCGAGGAGGAGTAGGAGAAGGAGGAGATCACTTTCCCCGGTGATGTTTATCTTCTTTATCGGACATCTTCCCACCCACGCTCGATCTGGACGAGTCTGTCCCTGAGCCTTGCTGCTGCTGCTGGGAGCCGCTCAGGTAGAGTTTGTCCGTGGCTTTGAGCGCCTCCGTGAGGTAGTTCTGGAAGGAGGTGAGCGCTGCCAGGATGGCCGGGCTGCCGAAGCCGTGAGTGAGGAGGCTGAAATGCGTCAGGGCCGCCTGGATGCCGGGTTCCAGCACGGCGGGCGGTCTCGCGTTGCCCAGCGGGGAGCGGTCCTGGGTCAGCAGATCGGCGAACTCCTTGCAGACTTGTCTGCGGCGCACACACAAGGACGCACACACGGACCGCACGGAGGTTGCATTACTTGAAAACGCGATGCTTCAAAACTGCTTTTTGTGTTCACATTTATTGCCCTTTGGTCGCACCTCCGATTAGCGCGGTTGGCTGCGTACGGTGCAAAAGAAGTTCAATGTACATATATAGAGGCACACAGATTCGCATAGATCCACGGACTCACACAGTGACCCACAGACTCACATAGAGACCCATAGACTCATCAAGATCTATACTCACATAGAGACCCATAGACTCACATAGAGACCCATAGACTCATCAAGACCTATACTCACGTAGAGACCCACAGACTGGGATAGTTTGAAAACTCTAGATTGAAAACGAATTTCTTTAGAACTGCTTTTTGTAATTAGTTTGTTGTCCTTCCCCCGCACCTGCGATTAGCACGGTTGGATATGTACGGTGCGAAAGAAGTTTAACATATTCAGCTTTTTATTTCATTTAATTCGTCAGTACCTTCCACAGTTAATTGCATTCTGGATGGTGGCTTGCTTATATAAAGTAGTTTTGGATTTCCATAATGAATGTGGTTAAAGATCTGTATTCTTAGCCAGGTAAAATAGCATTTAAGACGAGGAATAAAAAAAATATTTTTAAAGAGCGTTTTGGGTTTGAATTAGTCCATTAAAAAAACACACACACAACAGAAGCACGGTCATTGTTAACAAAACACCAGTAGAGATCATACAATTATGTGTCCTTGTAAAACCTCACCCTCTTGCCGGCAACTGGTAGGTTTTTTTTTTCTTAACAAATTAATGTTTCGTGTTCTCCGAACACCAACAAAAAAACAGAACGGGCGAGGAGGTTTCCGCGAGCTCGCGTGCGCGCGTTGGATTCGAGCCGCCCTTGTTGACACAACCACGTGGTGAATTCGCATCACCGTCGTATCAACACTCGGGCCCCGTGAGCAAACCCACAAATTAAACCGTCGCTCCCGTTTCGGACAAAACAAAAAAGACGAAGCCTACGAAGGTCTGGGAATCGCCCAGGGCCGCGCCAAATCTCGTCGGGATCTCCAAAGCCAAGCAGGATTTTTCTTAGCCTGGTTACTAAACCTGGACGGTTGAACGTCCGTGGGCTTACCCGGGCTACACCAATGCAATCTGGACGTCTACAATCTATACTGCTTTTGTTTTAATTTGAGGGGTGCCACGGTGGTGTGATGTTATCTTGCTCGCCTGGTATGCAGGGGGTCAGGGGGTTCGATCCCGACCCTGACGCCTGCTGTATACGTGGAGTTTGCGTGTACACCCTGGGATCCAGTGGATTTTTTCTCCGGGCCCTCCGGTTTTTCCCTCCGCATTTACAAACATGCATCTGCATTATCTAGAATATTTTGCTGCTTGGAATTTACACGTGGTGAAATTTCCACGTGATGAACTTTCCACGTGATGATAAGCCACTTTCGTTGACCTATCATATGTGGCCAGGTCGCTTCTAACCATGGTAGCAGTAGCCGTAGCGATAGAAGAGCAACAAGGGGGTGGCTGGCAACCGGCGGGTGAACGAGCGAGTGGCCGGAGTGAATCGGTGAGCGCTGGTTCACCAACCACCCTGAATCAGGTAGAGCGAGGTATGGTGGGGGCAGGGGGCATGGGATAGTCCACCACAGAATGGAAGGCCAGCGGCGAAAATAAACGGAGAGACTGAGTGGGGGATTTCAGTCCGTTTCATAGATCCGCCTGTTGTGTCCGACTCACAGCGGTGGTGAACACCAGCGGTGTTCTTCATTGCCACCAGTGACCCTGCAGGCCCCTGGGTGGCCTTGAGTGTGGCCCCTGACGTGTGATGTCTTATCGGCGAAATTGCCACCTATCCCTCCGCCATCTGCCTCCCTCCCCCTCTGGGTGGGTGAGGTGAGGTTGCTTCTGGTTAAAAAATTAATTTTAAAAACGCTTTGAAAAAAAGGTAAAAAATTAGCGAAAAACGCTTGCGCGCCCTCGTTACACAACGTGCGCGCACGTAACATAGCGGCGACGAGCTCCCGACGCTACGCAGCCAACTCACTTGGTGGCCAGCAGCATGTTCTTGCGCGTGTGCATGTCGGAGGGGTCGGCGTGCTGGCGCGTCAGGTAGTCGGCCACCGCCTTGCAGGGAAACTCCGTCTCGCTCACGTAGCCAAAGTCGCGCGCCAGGTGGATGGCCTCGCCTGGGACACGCAGCGCGGTTAGTTAGTTAGCGCGCCTCGAGTTAGTGTCGCACTAACCGGTGCCCAACTATCTTCTTGGTTCTTTCGGTAAAGTCACGTAGAAGGGAAGCAATAAAATAATAAAAATAAAACGTAATAAATAATTCTCACGACGTTTCGGCCACAACGCAAGCAGCCGTTGTGGCCTGAAACGTCGTGATAATTATTGTATTATGTTTTATTTGTATTATTTTATTACTTCCCTTCTACGTGACTTTACCGAAAGAACCAAGAAGATGAATCCCTGCAAGTCACGAAAGCTTTAAATAGGTGCCCAACTAGTTAGTGCCCTCTCTAATTAGTGCCTTGCTCGTTAGCGGCCCGCTAGTTAGTGCCCTACTAGTTAGTGTACCACTAGTTAGTTCAATTAAATTAATCAAAAGCCATCAGCTCCCTATCGCCACGTAAACATTAAATTATGCTCTCGTTTATGTCGGCCTCTTGGCCTAATAACATCATGTTCACGGGGGCCGCATTTGATTAAGCGAATAAACCGGACTCGTTCAGACCTTCTTGGGTCTCATCAGCAGTGTCGGGCACGCTAAACAAATGCCGAGTGCGAACATGCCAGGCCGGGCTGTACAGCCTTTGAAATTTTACAAAATTACGTGAGCAGCTTTTGTTTAGCATGGGCTAAGCATCTCGTTGTCAACGTAACACGTGACGTCGAACAGCACCAGTCGAGAGTGGTACCGATTTAGAGACAACCCCGGTGGTTGGTTGGCCAACACCGACCGCCCTTTATCTCCCCCAGTGATGATGATGATGATGATTACACACAGCGTCAGGTACACTCAAATTCAGGCCCCGGGGACCTGCTCACGTGTAGGTCGGAAAATGTTGATCGTGACCGGGAATCGAATTCGCAAGCATTGCCCTTGTTCTGGTCGTCCATTTGGCATGCTCTGATCTGACGCTGGTGGTGAGACAGGGCGACGGAAACGGCTGTCTCTGGTGTAGGCCAATCAGTCTCAAAGACAATGCGTATATCATCAGAGTATGTTCGTCTGCACGCTCACCGCAGGTACGGGTGGTTAATGCAGACTTGATGCCTTGAAAAACTTCTCTGTTTGGTGCTTGAACTATCTTAACACCTCCCGTTTTATTTCCAGAAAAGATTTTTAAAAAAACTATTCTCACTTTTCACAATTTTTTTGACATCGAGACGCCGGGTTCGTAGTAAGCGCAGTGCGATGACCGCTGTGACGTCATCCATCGCCGCCACCGCTCGCTCACCTTCCACTAGTGAGGTGAGCAGGGTCACGTTGGCAGTCTTGCGTCTGCCCGCCGGGAGGTTGAGCCCGATCTTGTCCAGTTTCTCCCTCAACTGAGCGGCCTCCGTTTTTTGATTTCGCTCTGCGAGGAGGACGGGAAGGGGGTTAGCCGAGACCGACCGGAGCGGTGGTGCCAAACAACGCAAACCGTAATCTTTGGGTCGTTCCGTAAAGTCACGTAGATAAGTTCATTTTTTTTTTTAATAACTGTTACAAAAATAACTGTCATTTTTTCGTCATTTTCTTTGAACCTATCTACGTGACTTTACCGAAAGACCCAAAGAACATGAATTCCTGCAGTCACGAAAAGCTTTAAGTCAAGATTTAACGCACACCGTGCCAACGCCGGTGGGTTGGCGCGGCGGGGTAGCGTGCACACGCGTCGTATCTGCCAGCCGTCTCAGTCCGTCAACCCCGTAGCACCGGGGGGTATGTTCCCGTGACCTCTTCCCGGCGACCTTTCGACACTTTACGTGGCCTCAACGGTGCACCGAGCATGGCGCAAGTGCCGTGGTGACGTCGCAGCCACGTGGCGACGGATAGCAGTGGCTGCTGTTGTTGGTGTCGTCCGTCGCGTCCTGCGCTTACGAAACGCGTCACCCAGTCCAATTCCCGGCCCCGGCTGCTAACATCACATTGAATTACGCGATGGCTTTTGGCAGATCGCTTTACAACCAGGTCACTCTTGCGAACTATCCTTGATTGTATGTACTGTGTGTTGAACTTCTTTCGAAGGTGAGGACACATTTAACGACGCAAACATTTAGTCACGTCACGAGATGGCATCGTCCAAATTGCAAGTTCATAATGTTTGCCCAGTTCTCGAGTGTTTAAACATCAGGAACTTGAAACTGTAAGCACACCCACGCAGTAACATAACATTTGGCAGTACCCACATCAACGCAGTCGATACATATAAACCAACAAAAGACAAAGAACCCCCACATAGCCTTAACATACTGTCGGGGCAAGTGCTGTTAGCGAGCGCCTATGAAGGCCTGCTCTGTGCACGAGGGGGTGGGTGGCCAATACCACGCCTGGCCGTCTTTGTCTACCTAGTGGCAACATTTACACACCGCATCAGGTGCCCATTTCAGGCTGAGTACACCTCGTGGAGGCCCAGGACTGATTCAGATAATCGCCACTGGCGTAGGCAATGAGCGGGAATCGAACCCGGGCCGCCGACTTCGTAGCGCAGCGCGCTAACCGCTACACCACCGCTCCCCACACACACACACACATATCCACCCATGCACGAAAGACACACAAACACACACACACAGAACACATACACACATAAGCGGAGCATGGCCAATCGCGTGAAGCGGGGGGGCTAATGCCTACGCGGGTGAGAACATATTCTGCCCCTCCTAGCTAATGAACATGTGGCAGCGTACACGAGTGGGCTGCGGCCAAATGAGCGGAGTGGATCGTGGCCAGTCGCGACGACGAGGAGCCAATGCAGTGAGCGAGTGCCAATTGCAATGTGCCACTTCGTCTTCCATATGGCTGATGATCCAGACGCAAGAGCGACGACTACAGTTTCACGTGCAGCCAGATAACCCCGATGTCTTTTTAGTATTTGGGGATCGGGGCTTTGCGTCGTTCCACGTTGTACAGTCTTTTGTGGATGACCACAGTCGCACACGGCTGGAGAGTTTTTACATTTTCCGTTTGTGCATCAGATGTCCGCCTCTGTCAAGGTTTGTGCAGTGGATGCGGTTTGGGTTAGACCGTGAGCTTCAGGCGGAAGATCAAACCCCAGGGGGTCTCCTGCGTCGGGTCTTCCGTGTGCCACCGTGACGAGCGAGCGTGTAGCCGTGAACACAGTGGGCTCTGTCGACTCGTGTGGGGGAAGCAATGCGTGATGGGTAGTGCCGGCACGCAAGCCTCTCTGTCTCAATCTGCTCAAGCCTCCCGCAGACCACGTGACTTCGGTGTTGCCACCACCCCCCGCTCTGAACCACTCCCCTCTCCCCACCCACTGTGAAAACAGACGCTTGCTCTCCACAAAGCTCACTCCTCGTTCACTCCCTTCTTCTCTAGTCTCTCTCTTCCCTTCTCCCGTTCCCTCATCATCACCCTCGTCGTACATCTCCAACACCTTGGTCCAGCCATTCCTTCTCCCCCCCCCCCCCCCCCCCCCCACATATTCCATCCTCCTTCTCCATTCCTGGTGTTCGTCTTCGAGCCGTGCCCTCCGCCTCCTCGTCGTCCATGCCGGGGACTTCCGCACGCGGCACCCCTTCCCTCTCCCGCTCCTCGGTACGTGGACGTCGACTAGCATGCAGCCAACCGTGCTGGTCTCTCACCATCTTCCCACGCATTACATCCTTGGCTCTCCCTGCCCCCGTCCGCGCCCCGTGCCCCTCGCGGTGTGTGCCACGTGTAACGGAGTTCCTCTCCGCGACCAACTCACCGGCGCAGAACGCCGCCCAGCAGAGACGCATTGAGGCACTCGGGCGGAGAGAGGCGCCTCTGCACCTCGCCCACGGTCACCTTGTACTTTGACGTGGAGCTCAGCAGAGATAATCTCCCCGGCACGGAGCAGAAGACTTCTCCCGGGTTGCCCACGCTGCCCACCAGGCTCCCCTTGCCCATCATCTCGCCCGCTCCACCCCCGTGCATGCCCGACTTGGACGAGCCGATGACGACTGATGGATATAACAAAAAAAATTACGGAAGGAAGACAGAAAATTCACGCATGCTCGAAATGAATCGCTTTATACACGTGGATAAATATTCGCGTACATTTTTTTTTCGTATGAATGCTCGAAAAACCGGCTGTGAAACGTGCATCAAGATTGTGGACTTGAGCGAAGACGTTCAAAGGAGTGTACAGAATGGAAAGCGGCGGGTACGAAAGATCAAGGGGGCAAAACCCAATCGTGGGCGAGATGCACGCTTGCAATTACACGGGGGGACTGACAGCGAGACGATCGCGTGCGATGGAGAGCCACGCTCGGGGTTAGAGGAGTCTTGTTGAGAGGCAAGCAAGAAGTGAATCAGCTTGGGCTGGACCGGTCGCTCGATGGGACGGTGACGGCCGATGGTCGAGACTAACGGCAGAGCGGCAGCCAAAGCATGGAACTCGTCCGAGAGAGAACGCGCACCGTGGAGATACAGCGACAGAATCAGCTCTGCGTGCAGGTGCTGGGTGGTTTGATTGAATATTTTTTTGGGGGGGCGGAAGGGATGCCTTCATCCATCAGTGGATCGGTAAAGGCCCATGACGATGAACGTGGACTGACGGAAAGGGTAACGGTGCGTCCGTGAGAAGGGCGTACCTTTCTTAATCACCGAGTCGGAGTGGTCCATCAGATTTAAATTGAGGGCCTCCTCCATCTGTGGATGATTACGCACAACCGTTAGACACACGGCTGCCATGTGCGCACACGCGTGTGTGTGTGTGTGCGCCTGGAGCGGTGTGTAAACATCGGCACGAGTGGGACAACGACGCGTGGTGCTGGCCACCCACCCCCTCGTGTGCCGTGCCGCCCTTCATAATGTGCTCGCTGACGGCACTTGCCCCAACGGTATGTTAAGGCTATACGGGGGTCTTTGTCTTTGTTTGTGTAAGTGCACAGCTACTACAGAGCGAACATCGCGTACACTGTGTACACACGGTGTGTATACATGGTGTGTATGCACACTGTGTGTACACGATGTGTGTACACGGTGTGCGCACAGAGTGTGTACACGGTGTGTACAGGTGTGCGCACAGTGTGTATACGGTGTGGCAGAGGAGCGATGGCGCAGTGGTTAGCGCGCTGTGCTATGAACCCGGCTTACCCGGGGTTTTCCATATACTCATTCGACCAGCTCCCCCACTCCCCCCCCAAGGATAATCGAACAACCCCCAGTGACAGATCCGGTTTGGGGAGGCTTTCATCCAGCAGTGGATTGATAAAAGAGCTGTCCAGCGACGTCTCTGCCATCCAGTGCGTGTGCTGTAAACACGTGACACGCCTGTTTGATTTGAAGCGCAGTCAGAAGCCCCTATTCTTATTATTACAATAATAACCGTGCGCTTTACGTATAACACAGCGGCATTGTTTTTGTAAACATAATTTAACCCTCCACAAGAAAGCTGGACAATTTATTGACGTCTAAAGTTACAGTCCGAATTTGTTGGTAAAGCTAAGTGGCAATTCAACATATTCTTAGGTTTTTTCGGTAAAGTCACGTAGGTAAAAAATTAAAATAAGTAAAATAAAAAAAATAAAAAAATAACGACGTTTCGGAGGCAACACAAGCTTCCGTCTTCAGGTGGAACCGTCACAGGGTGCGAAAATTGGGCAGATTTTTGTTGTTTTAAGATTAATAATCGAAAAGATAAATTCAGCACGGGCACGTAAGTACGGCCACTTTATATTCTTGGTTCTTTCGGTAAAGTCACGTAGAATGGAAATAATAAAATAATAAAAAAAAAACATAATAAAATAATCTATATATATAAAATCGTTCATGTCTGTGTGTCTGTGTGTGTGTGTGTGGACTGCACTTTCATTGGACGGCGGTTGCCCCTGGCAACGGCTAGCCACGCCTTCGCCGCTTTCATTGGACGGCGGTTGCCCCTGGCAACGAGTAGCAACTTTTCTCCGCGGGGTGGACGCCATTTTTAATAGCGCGGGGGGGGGGGGGGGGGGCCGGCACCCGTACCCAGCGTTCGCCGGGTGGGAAAATCAGGCAAGGCGGGAGGCTCTGCACGGTGCTAGGCCTCGACACCCAACACGCCACTCTGAGGTAAATTCATACAAATTTCACGTCCTCTACAGAGTGGCGAGGGAGGCAGAGTGGCGAGGGAGGCAGAGTGGCGAGGGAGGGACTCAGCCTCAAAACGAGTAACTGCTGTGGCGTATTAACATCGCCACTGGGGAGACAAAGGCGGCCGGCCGTGGTGGATACAAGTCCCGGGCAAAGCCGGGTCATGACTATGTGTGTATGTGTTTATGTGTATGTCTGTGTGTCTGTATGTATGTGTGTATGTATGTGTCTGTATGTGTTTGTGTGTATGTATGTGTGTGTCTGTATGTATGTGTGTGTGTATTGTGTAAGTGTTTTTGTGTATGTATGTGTGTGTTTGTATGTATGTGTATGTTTGTGTGTATGCATGTGTGTGTATGTGTTTGTGTGTATGTGCGGTTATGTATGTGTGTGTATGTGTGTGTCTGCAGCAAGCGCGTGTATGTGTACCTATGGACGCGCGCGCGTGTGTTGTGTAGGGAGAACGGTAGTGTAGTGCTTAGCGTACTGCCTGTGTCTATGTGTGTGTGTGTGTGTCTGTGTGTGTGTGTCTGTGTGTGTGTCTGTGTGTGTGTGTCTGTGTGTGTGTCTGTGTGTGTGTGTCTGTGTGTGTGTGTCTGTGTGTGTGTGTCTGTGTGTGTGTGTCTGTGTGTGTGCGTGCGTGGTGTGTAGGAGGAACGGTAGTGTAGTGCTTAGCGTGCTGCCTGTGTGTGTCTGTGTGTGTGTGTGTCTGTGTGTGTGTGTCTGTGTGTGTGTGTCTGTGTGTGTGTCTGTGTGTGTGTCTGTGTGTGTGCGTGTGTGGTGTGTGGGGAGCGGTAGTGTAGTGGTTAGCGTGCTGTCTGTGTGTCTGTGTGTGTGTGTCTGTCTGTGTGTGTGTTCTGTGTGTGTGTCTGCGTGTGTGGTGTGTGGGGAGCGGTAGTGTAGTGGTTAGCGTGCTGTCTTTGTGTCTGTCTGTGTCTGTCTGTGTGTTTCTGCGTGTGTCTGTGTGTGTGTGCGTCTGTGTGTGTGAGGAGCGGTGGGTGTAGTGGTTAACGCTACGCTGCGCTACCAACCCGGCGAACCCAGTTAGATTCCCGCTCATGGCCACCACCGATCAAGATTATTTGAACCTCACATAGGTCGACTCAGCCTCAAACGAGTAACTGGTGTGGCGTATTAACATCGCCACTGGGGAGACAAAGGCGGCCGGCCGTGGTGGATACAAGTCCCGGGCGAAGCCGGGTAGTACAGCTAGTATAATAATATAATAATACTGAAAGAACCAAGAAGATGAATCCCTGCAGTCACGAAAGCTTTAAATCGAAATTTTATACGGCCACTCTGATTGATCAAGCCCTGTGTAAGAATTTGAGAATTTTTATTTGTATTTTATTATGTTTTATTTTTATTATTTTATTATTTCACTTCTACGTGACTTTACCGAAAGAACCAAGAAGATGAAGCCCTGTGTATTTATTAACATTATACTGCTTTTTTAACGATTTCTGCAGTCAAGTTAAAGAACCAACTGATTTAAAGTTTCCGCGTCCATCCGTCTTCTGTCATAATGCCCCCCCCCCCCACGTGACTGGGCCTGCGCCCCCCCTATACTCCTGTGGGATGGGTCGACTGCATTGGGGATCGTTTCGTCGGATCGAGCAAGCTACGCAACGCGCTCGAACTAAGGGCTCTCGGCCCTTTTGTTTCAATAAAAAAATGAAAACTAAAATTTTAAAAAAATCGCGTAGTTTGCGTAAATATTATGAAGACAAAAAGCTGTTTCTCAGTATTCGTATACAATACTCTGCGGGAGACGATTGCGTTTCACCCAACACGTGCGGCATGGGTCACGGTTCTGGGGCGGCAGCGCGTTCGCCTGGCTTTGTTGGAAGAGGTTCTCGGTTCGAATCCCAGGGGCCGCCCTGGTTAATGCCGATTGTGAAACTGCATTATTTAGAGCAGTGGTTCTTAAACCTTTACTGCAGCCTTGCACCCCTTTGGTTCTCAATAGCTTCCAAAATGTATAAGGAATGGCTTTTGTCAGTTGGTGTATAAGTTCATATTTATAATTAAAAAAACATTTGTAATAAAATCAACATAAAATTCGTCTTCATAATGGGTCATTCCCCGCAAAACGTTAGCTTGTTTAAATAAACGTGCAAATGTTACTGGTGTGTTTAAAGTAACTAACGTGGTGTGTGTACCGGTAAGGCCACGCTTTATCTTGGCGTTAACGTCACACTCGCAAGTACGTAAAGAGATAAAGTGCCAGAATTTCTCGGATTGTGAATATGAAACTTCGTATGCTCAGCGCTCGGTTCCAATAAAAGCGTGTCCCAGGTCTAGATAAAAAAAAAAACAAATCTAGTTAAATACAACATCCCCACTTACGAATAAAAAAACATAATGCCAGCGGAGTCGACAAATCCACTTCAATCGGACACCCCCATTGACGCGAGCTTTCGGAACCGCGCGGCCGTGTGACGGACAGAGGGCAGCTGGTGTCACTGTGAGTCCCGGGTTAGTTTCGTGCCTCTGAGCGCTGCCAACAATGTTGATTCACGAACGGCGAGGACTGCTAAGCCACGGCGTTCTGGAACATTCTGGAACGCCGTCTCGGGAAATTTGTTCTGGCAGGGGCCAAATCCATGTCTCCCCTTGCCTCGTCCTCACCGTGCCCTGTGCTCCTACATATGTGATGTACGGTGCTGTATGGGAATAAAGGGGTCATTGCGGACAACTTGTAATCGAGTGGTAGTGCCTTACGCCAATAAGCCCTAACCCCCCCCCCCCCCCCCCACAAGCCTGTAACAGCGTTCCGGAAAAAATGAGTCTCGGCATTTTTTTCAGGAGTTGTTGCCCGACGATCGTCAGATCTGGTGAGGCTAAGCAAGGCCGAGCCTGGATAGCGCTCGGAGGATCGGTGACCTCGGCGTGGCTACAGGCTGCTGCGTAGCCGCGTTGTGGGCAGCAGAGGGCAGTGCGGTGCGGGAGTAAACACATCAATAAAAACTCATCGTCTCGTTGACGCACGCGCGGTGGTTTGCGCGGTGACGGAATTGGTTTGGTGGTTGAACCCATCCTGATCATAATCACGCACACCTTGATGGCGGAGGAGAGGGAGTTTGTAGTGCTCACACGCACTACATACCACATCCATTGCTCTCTTAGCCCTATCGTGTCACACGTCAATATATCTAAAGGCCTCCGGTCAATCTCGTGGCGAATGCGCCCCTAACCCCCACGGCTCTAATTGTCTGCTCCGTATAGCGCGCCCGAACAACTTCGTGCCGAATATTCCCATTCAGAGTGAACTGGGGGCGAGAGTCGAACCCCGGCTTGTTGGCTGGTGGGTCGGTAGGGGGGGGGGGGCGCTGTGCTATGGCCTGCGGGGCTGCGCACGCTGTCGCGGCCAATCAGAAGGCGAGGCGCGGCGCGCGCGCGACCCTCTGAGTGGCGCGCGCGGCACGGGCGCGCGGAGCGGCTGTCGCATCGCATCGCGCGCGGCACGCGGGCTTGGACACGCGTGAGTGTTCATGCGCGTGTGTGTTCATGCGTGTGTGTGTTCATGCGCGTGTGTGTTCATGGGCGCGTGTGTGTTCATGCGCGTGTGTGTGTTC